ACTTCGGTCTCTGTCGAGAAGGTTAGGGGAACGTCCTCGACTAAGGATGCTCCTTCTCGACCAGAGAATTCTGGTGTCTCTTCAAGCTCGCAGCGACAAAGGGATCCGTCCCCTCCTCCAAAACGTACCGATCGCTCTCCTCTCCGATCGACCAAGGAACCTGAGGCCTCCAAGAAACGCCTCCGCTCTGAAATTTCCACTCTTTCATCCCCACATCCGAATATCGACCCTCTTCAATCCCCCAGCAAGCGCCCTCATATTGAGGCCAAGTCTGAGGGAAGCCAGCTTGCGCAACTGCCTACTCGTGCTCCTACCCTGGTGGGGACGGGCCCACGCGAGGCTTTATCTCGCCTAATTGGTCTCCTACCTTTCGGGGACACCCATCGGTGGCTTCCAATCGCCAGGCCCAGGGTAAATACGCTTCTCGCGCGTTGATTAAGATATACTCATCTACCGCCTTATGTTCATAATTCTTTCTTCATCGGTGTGTCTCAATATGTGTGTTTGTTTTTTTTTTTTTTTTTTTTTTNTTTTTGCAGACGGTGGTCTCGGTTGCTCCTCTCCTCGAGGAAACTCTGAACAGCTCTGGTCGTCCCCTCCCTGTGGTCGAGAGCGACAACCGACGACTAGACACCGAGAACCAACTTCTCAAGGCCGAAAACCAAGGCCTGCTCAAGTCCCAGCACGAATTGGCTGAGCAGGTGAAGAAGGACGACAAGGAAGTGCGCCGCCTCAAGGATGAACTGAAAAAGAAGGATAAAGTCCCACAGACGGCGCCAATAATACAAGTCTCACACCCCGACCGGCTGGAAATCTCCTCAAGCTCGTTCTCCTCGTCGGTTGAACGCGGAACCTGCACGAAACTCTCACACCGGAAGTGTTTTTCGGTGAAGAGCCTCCAACGCTCAAGTCAGATCTTGAGAGATGAAATATATGTGTGTGTAAGAGTATGAGAGATTGTGTCAAACGTGAGAATTCTCGTCCCTATTTATAGGGACGAGCTACCTGTTTTACACGCGCGATCTAGGCGAGTCTGACTAGCAGCCCTCTTACTCATCCGTACAGCCGCGCGCCTCCACTACCTTTGGTGTCAGAAAACGCGTCGGAGATGTCAGAGAATGTCAGAGTCCGTTATTGCCGTGGACCACTCGCAAAGCGCCGCGTGTCCTCCTTCCACGTGCTGGGGATTCTTTCCTCTCTGAGACTCGACCAGATCCGCAACGAATGTAGAGCCGTCCCTGAGATGCGAGGTGTTCGAGTCCACGACCACGCCAGTCTGATCGTCTTCATCGACCATCCCCTCGAGCAGCCAGTACTTGTCTATCACTACCGAATGCGCTCTTTCTCGTTCTCTATCTTCTTTCCATCAGTGCGGATGTTCGGTCCCATTCGATTGGACCGCTAACCTATTTTGTTTGACTAACCCGACGAACCGGTCTAGTATATATCCCATATCACTAGCCCAATTTACAATTGTGACTCCAAAAATAATTACCCGAACTACATCCTCATATTTAAGATATGATGTTATTAATTAATTCGATTACTGACAATCAAGAATTAATTAATTTATTATTATTTCACCGAAGCTAGCGCTCGTTCATCATATTATTACTATGTGGAATTAAATCTACCTGCAGGGATTAGCATAATAATCCTTCATGAACTCACTCCGGAGACATCATCAAACTAAACGTACATGGTGACCGTAAATATCTTAACAACACATCATACATGCAGCAATATTACCCAAGACAGTAGGACTATTAATCCAGTTCACTGAACCTCACCCATGTGAATCAAAATAATATATACTGCATATATATGTCTGTTTAATATCTTACGGGTTAAGAGAGCGCAGTAATTAACCGAGGCCTAGTTCGTTTACTACTATCAGTATAAAATGAACTTCTTCTCTCTAGGATCCTGTTCAATACATAAATGTACTAGTGCAACTAATCAGTCAAGACAAACTGTACCGTTGACACTACAACCATTTGGATGGGGTGTTCATTTCCATCTAGGTTGTGAACCGCTATTCTTATTTCGCAAGTAACAGATAGAATGATATTTGGTTCACCTGATGACGACCACTCTATCTAATCGCAAAACAACATAACGTAAAACTTGTTTAATCTAACATTGTTCTCATTCATAAAAGGGTAAAAGTGTAATATTATCTAAAGTCAAGCTTTTAGTATATAACACTAACACTTAGGTGTTCAGGTGTTGTTCATCGTGTGTGACAGCTTAAGACCGAGCTTGTAGGAGTTCGGGTGCTATTCATTGGGGACGGCATTCGAACGAGCTCTTAGGAATGACTTTTCATTAAATATGATGGCTTAAGGTTGAGCTTTTAGGAACTCTGATATTGTTTTTGAACAGTACCAGTTTAAGGCTGAGCTCGTAAGAGCTCGGATGTTGTTCATAAGATACGATGTTTTTTTTTTACCAGACTCATGTGACAAATGGGTTTAGAGTGAACCATAGTGCGAGCTACTCCGAATTGATATAAGTTGTCGAGTAGAGAGTAGCAAAAACTAAGAATGGGCTATGTAGAATTGCAACAAACAGATTACTTATGAAAGATAACAAAGGAAAATAATATGAAAGCAAGTAGCAGCGACCATATTAATAAAAATCTCATAATATTCCAAGAAAAAAGATAATACATAGAGTTGTTTGATGAAAACAACTAATGTTTGCAAAATAATACTACAAGTACAACATGGTCTAGCTAGGGAAAACTAATCTGGCGGAAACAGCCTGCTCGCCTTGGCCCTCCGCAGTAGGTAGGATTCTCGTCATCCTCCTAGGCAGAATTACCCTCATCCTCCTCGTCAACACCAACATCACCTTCGAGTTCGAGCTTTTGCATGGTGGCCTGAAGAGCGGACTCCCACCAAGTATAGTCCATGGGTAACTGGGGGTTGCCCGACCAACCATCATGATCGAGCAAACCACAAGCTCATGTTTTAGTACTTAAAATTAAAAGGTGATTGTTAACACGAGTATCTAATTTTTAGAGAATACTAAATGATAAAACCACAAGCCAGTTTGTACAATTGAATGAAGCTATACAATTGTGTGTCTTCTTAAGAAAATCGCATTTTTTTTTATTAGAACAAGAATTATCCCGTTATTTTATGAAACCGCTATTCCATCTCCGTTATTCATTGAGTCTGCCCTGAATAATCCTCCTAATCGGATACAGTGTTTTGTGACCCGGACCGGCCCGGCGGGTCGACCCGGGACCCGGTCGACCCGGAGCCGGAACCGGTCCGGGTGGGTTAATTGGACCGGGCAACAACGGACCCGGTCAAACCCGGTCAAAACCCGGTCGACCCGGCCTTGACCCGGTCGACCCGGGGCATTGACCCGGCTGGGTCAACCCGGTTGACCCGGTCTATATGTATTTTTTTATTTTTTTTTTTGTTTTTTAATTTTCTTTTTCTTTTTAAAAAATAAAATTATGTATATATATTTATATGATAAATATATACATATTATTACCACTTTAATCTACAAATTTTACATACAAAATATTTAAATTTGTTATTTTTATGTATATTTATATATCACAAAATACTCTATATATAATTTTATAAATTTTAAAATTAATTATCTGGTTCAGCAATTGACCCGGCGACCCGACGGTTGAACCGGTGACCCGGTGACCCGAAGACCTCCCCGGGTCGATTACCGGGCCGGGTTTAAAAACTATGATCGGATATAGTTAATAAAAAATGTCCACAGAGATGAATCAAAAGAATAACGCATGTAGTGTTTTATACTTTTGTGCAATCAGTTAAGATGTTATACAATTTCAATTAATAAATATTATTTTCTTAATTTATTTTCTAATATATAATGTAGTAGTGAATTGAATTCCCACCTTTTTATGCCAACAAAATCCTCGCTTTTTAATTAAAAAAAATTAACGCAATTGAATCTGTTATTTCATAAAGCAAAAGTAAGTCTTATTTGTGCATTCCATTAATAAAAAATGTTATTTCATAAAGCAAAAGTAAGTCTTATTTGTGCATTCCATTAATAAAAAATGCGCTTCACATCGTGCAATATATAATTGAAGTATCTTAAACTTTTCTATTTATTTACTTGTGAATTAATTAATTTTTTTATATTGATTATTAATAATAAATGATATATATAATTATTGTAGTATGTATTATGGAGTCCTAAATCTTTTGAAAACGGATTACATATATATATGTATATATATATTTACTTATCATGAGAAATATTCACCTACCCACGGTGGACACATGTTAATATGCCCACCGCATAGGTGACATGCATTTATTGGTGATGTATTTTTTTATATTCGTCTTCCGCAATTTATTTCTCTGTATTGCATCAGAGTCTGCTACTCCCTACATTGGCATTTCAACATCATATACTCTATAGTCTATCACCTTCATTTTAGCAGAAACTCTATGGTGCCACATGTGGCACCATATTATAGTGCCACAACATGATGTGGCACATTATAATTGGTGCCACAACATGATGTGTGTTAATTGTAGCACTAATCATAATGTGCCACATCATGTTGTGGCACCATAGAATTTTTGTTCATTTTAGAGTTGATTTGATGAGCAACAACACGTAAGATTGAATGAATTGATTTAATTTATATGCAAATGCACCTTATCACTTGGGTTTGATATCATTTTCAGCAAGTCTTCCTATTTATTATTCACACTAGTAATAATTATTAGAAGATTCAAGACCTCGGCGCCATCTAAATGAGAATTTACCAAGTCCATCTATATTAAATTTAAAGTAAAACAAGTTCCCGCGATACAAGTCACGCTACGTTACTGTAAGGAAGACTTTTCTACCCCCTATGCGGCTATGCCACTCCCCTAAACTCCCTGACTGCAACTATAAAATGGTACATTTTCAAACTCTCCAACACACAACCACACACCCGCAGTACTCTATCTGGAAAATCAGTAGCAAAAATTTCTGTAGCAATGGCGGCAAACTTGTCTTCCCCATCCCCAGTTGGTCCCGACCCGCTTCAGTTAATCGAACATATGACCCAAAATGCCGGTGCGGTCCAAGAAAGCTTGCTGACCCAAATCCTTGCCCAAAATGCGGAGACGGACTATCTCAAAGGTTTTAGTGTTGACGGAGTCATGGACTTGGAGGCCTTCAAATCGAAGGTCCCCTTGGTTACGTACGAAGATATCCAGCCGTTGATCCGGAGAATGGCTGACGGTGATCACTCGCCCATTTTATGTGCTCAACCCATCTCTCAGTTCCTCATCAGGTGATCATTTATTAAGGGAGAACACAACAATTGCATTCTGTTGAGATTCTTATTTTAGATATTTCGGAATGTTAGTAATTTTCTTGTCTAAACAGCTCAGGAAGTGTGGGAGAACCAAAGCTGATTCCATCCACCAAAGAAGTACTGGAACGTACTCTGCTTTTCTGCAGTCTTCTAATGCCTGTTGTAAACAAGTGAGTATATGCAGATATGGATGAGGAAATATTTTTAGTTCTTGTAGTAGTATAATCATGTTATGTTTTCTTGAATAAATGGAATAGGCACATGAAAGGACTCGACGGAGGCATCGGACTCAATTTCATGTTCACGAGGTCCGACGCAAGAACCCACGGTGGGACCCTCGCACGACTCTCGACCTCAAGCCTCTACAAGAGTGACATCATGAAAAACCGGCCAGCCAACATCTACACGAGCCCGAACGAAGCCATCTACTGCCCCGACCCCTTCCAGAGCACGTACACCCAGCTGCTGTGTGGGCTGTATAACCGCGCACGGGTCGACCGGATCGAGACCACATTCGCCTCAGCCCTCGTCCGAGTCCTCAAGTTCCTCCACATCAACTGGAAGCAGCTCACCCACGACATACGAACCGGGTCCCTCGACCCAAGAGTCATTGACGAGTCAATCCGTGGATTCATGTCCCGAACTTATAACCAGCCCAACCCGGAACTGGCAGACTCCATTGCTCGCGAGTGTGCCAAGGACAACTGGGAAGGGATCATCACGAGAATCTGGCCCCACGCGAAATATCTCTGGACCATCGCAACCGGAACCATGGCTCAGTACATCCCGACCCTCGACTACTACAGCGGCGGGCTCCCGATAGTGTCCATGACATACGCATCCTCCGAGTCCTACCTTGGCATCAACCTCCAACCCACGTGCAAGCCTTGTGAGGTCTCCTACACTTTCATGCCGTTCATCGCCTATTTCGAGTTTCTTCCCAGCACGGGAAACTCGGAGGAGCCCGTTGACTTGGTCAATGTAGAGATCGGCAAGGAGTACGAGGTGGTGGTCACAAACGGGGCGGGGCTGTACCGGTACCGACTCGGGGACATTGTGCTGGTCACGGGGTTCTACAACTCGGCCCCACAGTTCCGGTTCGTGAGGCGGAAGGACGTGGTGCTTAACATTGAGTGGGAGAAGACAAAGGAGACGGAGCTTCAGGCGGCAGTCGAGAAGGCGGCGAAGATGCTGCTACGCCCGTTCGGGATGGGTGTGGCCGACTACACGAGCTTTGTGGACACGACGAGTGTCCCGGACCACTATGTGATGTACTGGGAGCTGCTGGGCACGGGAAGTTGGCCTGGGGATGAAGTGCTCGAGCGGTGTTGTTTTGCAGTGGAGGAGTCTCTCAACCTGGCTTATCGAATGTTGAGAGCGGGGGATGGGCCGATCGGGCCGCTGGAGATACGAGTGGTGAGGAATGGGGCGTTTGAGGAGGTGATGGAGAATGCGGTTTCGAGAGGTGTGTCGATTAGTCAGTATAAAGTGCCGAGGTGCGTGGGGTCGTTGAAGCCGGTGATGGATATCCTTGAGTCGCAAGTCGTCTCCAAGCACTTCAGCCCGTCCCCTCCGAGTCTGTCCTGACACGGCGACGACGAGGCCTCCGAAAATAAAGTCAACGTGATTGGAGAATGACGGACACTCACGCGCGCGCGTTAGATTGACAATAATCTCGATCGTGCATTCTACTCTCGTTTTATTTTTACTTTTACTTTTTTTTTTTTT